CTTTTCCTCCACATCCTTCTCCCTGACAGGCTGGGGCTGGCGTGAGACGATGCTTTTCACAGTCATGATGCTTTTAGCCTTGTGCAGATTATTCTTGACATCATCATCAGCTGTTTTGCCTTCCTGCCTGGACAGGTGCTCAGGGGGATATGAATCTGATCTGGAATCCTTGAGGCTGCTGACATCCCCCTCACTGCTGCTCAGGGTCAGGGCAACCACAAGAGTTACAGTTCCATGGTCTCCCAGCGAAGGCTCCTTGGCCCTGAGGTTCAACACTGGGCTGCTCTTTGCTTTTCCAGAGGGCTCCACTTCCATTACTTCTCCCTGTGTCTGTGCCACAGGACCTGTGTGAGCTGGAGAACACCAAGACAGCAGATCAGCAACTCGGCACAAACACAGGGGCAGAGGTTTACCCCGAGCAGCAGGAGCTCCTCTCTGAGACAAGGGAGTGGGTGAGGGGAGTGGTGGATGAGTTGGGGAGGGGAGAAGACTCCTTAAATCACTCTGATTGTCCCCTCAGGGCAGAACAGGAGAGGTTTCTTTTCTGGTGTCTCCCAGGGCTCTCTTTGGATGGGAGAGAAACATCCCAGGGAAATGGGTTTGCTGTCGGAGACTTTCCCACAGCTCAGTGTGAGCCAGTGCTGGTTTCTAAATTCCCCAGAAAGCTTTGAAACTCCGAGTGAGCCTGGCAAGCAGAATCAAGCCTGACATGGGTTGTGGAATTCACCTGGAGCAGGAGCTGCAGGCTGTGCCTGGGCTGGGGCAATGGCTGGGTGGGGTGGTTGGTCACCCCAAGACTCTGCAGGAACCAGTGAAGAGAGAGAGAGCCCAGACTGAAGATCAGCCCAGAGGCTGCTGAGGCACTAACAGTGTTTGGTGTTCATCTAATGCCCTGCAAAGCACAGGGGGGCTCCTGCCCTCTCTCCTGCACATGGGCAGGGAGGTGACACAGAGCCTGCAGAGCCTGTTGAGGGGCATCCACGCTCCTTCTGGGTCTTGGGCTTCCCAGGGTGGGTTTGAGGCAGGTTGGGGCCCACGTCACTGTGCCAGAGCAGCACAAACACTGCTGCACCCTTTGCACACGTGTGCTGGGTGTGGGACCCCTCTGGCCCCTGAGCTGTGACTGGCCAAGCTATGGTGGCACTGGAAAGGCTCAGGAGGTTCTCAGGGGAAACTGGGGGTTAGAAGCAGTGCCTGGGAAGGGCACGGGGCAGGCCTGCTTTCCTTGGCCACATGCACAGGGTGGGTTGGAAGCTCCTGTGTTTGTTTAGCCCAGAGAGCTCTTTCTTATCCAGGCAGTATTTGACACACCAGATATGTGTAATCACAAGGAACTTTCCAACCCGTGCTTGTTCCAAGTCTTCTCCAAGGGGAGATCAGGAATTGCCCCAAAACGGGGCCGTGCTGCAGCATCTCCTCAAGCTGGAGGCAACTGGGCACATTTGAGGGCTACCCCAACCTCAGCAGGACACCCACCAGCACACTGGGCACTGCTGCTGCTGCACAGGTTCTCGCAGAGGAACTGGATGGTCCTGCACGGGGTCTCAGTGCTGGCATGCTCCTGGCAGAGGCAGCAGGCCACATCATTGGGCAGTTTGCTAAAGACAAGAGGTTATTGATTGGAGGAAAACCCAGCGTCCCAATCCGTGTCTCTGAGGCCATCGGGGGCAACCCCCAGATAAGGCCTCGGGGATGTGCTTCCATGTCTGCCACAGCTCTGGAAAACTTCCCTCACGTGAATCCCAAAACACCAAAAATGTGATTTTTCCTTTGAAAGTGGAACTGGTCCCAAAAAAACATTTCACAGAGAAACAGACCCGCCGTGCTCTAAACCCCCCTTTGAAATTCTGCCTTGGAGCTGCTGAGGTTGGGAGGTTCCCGGAAGTCAACAGGAACCCTAAAGCTTCCTGGGGTTGTTGTGATTTAGTGGCAGAGGGATTTGTTTCCCAGGCAGACCCCCTGTCTCAGCCCTGAGGCTCTGCTGGTGGCTGGCCCTCAGTCCCACCTACTCACAGGGTTTCCAAGTGCACTGTTGTCTGCAGGAGCAGCAGCAACGTCTGCGGAGTCACTTGAGTTGCACTCAGGTCCCTGTGAGCATTTCAAAGACCACATTCAATTTTCAGGTGACATTCCCACAACTCTGCTGTGAGAGCAAGCCCAGGCCCCTGAGGAGCGTGGGGGTGCTGGCAGAGGGATCCACTTCTGCCTAATCAAAGACAAGCCATTCAAGAGCCCACCGGCCTTCTGCTTTGCCCTGCTCCAAACCATGGCCTTGCAGTCAGGAGGGGACCCTGCAGCTCTCGGGGCAGACAGATGCCAACAGAAAGGATTCTCCAGCTCCAAACCCTCCTGCTCTTCCCTGGGGGCAGCTCCAGTCCCTGAAGGAGGCAGGAGCCCCAGACTGCTGCCAACAGTGCTCAGGCAGGACTGGAGCATTCCCAGAGCCCTCTGGCCACTCCCTGGCCCCAGACCTGGATGGTCTCTCGTTTCTGAAAGTTTCTGTCCCAGCTCCTTGGGTGCTTTGCAGCTGGGGACACACCACAACTGATTGGACTTGTTCTGCCAGTGCCGGGGACATTTGTGCCTCCAGCACAAAGAGGCTGGGAGAAGAGGGAGGTTTGCTCCTGGATCTCTGCTTTCCTGAGAACAGGCCACTGGAGAGACACAAAGATCTCTGCTGATCTGCTCCAGAGGAGTCAACACTTACAGATAGTTGACTGAAGGCAGCTTGAAGAATGCTGTGTCAGCAATCACGGTCAGGGGGTTGTGGCTTAGGATCCTGAAAAAGCAACAGAGAGCTGTGAGGGGTGATGGGAAGGACGTGAGCTCTGTGGGTCAGGGCAGGTGGGGATGGCCTGGCTGGTTCAAGGAAGCCCTGGAGAAGAGAAGCAGGTCAAGGGAAAGGGGCTTTCCAGCTGCAGACTCCTGGTGCTCCCTGGCTGACATCCACAGTGGGATTCAGTACTTTACACAGGGCAGAGCAGCTCTGCCCCACTGTCCCTGCGGGGTCTGGCTCTGATGGGCCTTTGGACCTTGTCCCACTTACAGCTCCTCTAGAAACTGCATCCCGTGCCATGCCTGGAAAGTGCTGCTGTGGATCTGTGTGAGGCCATTCCCACTGAGGTTTCTGGGGAAAGAGAAGATGACAGAAATCAATGGGGTCTGTCCTACAGGATGCTGGTGCAAAGAAGGATCCCTTTGGAGGAAATGTGCTTTTACCAGGGGACATTTAGTGACTGTGCTGAAAACAGGAGCATTTTCTAACACAGAAAGGGTTCTAAACAGAAAGATTTCACTAAAGACACCACAAAGAAACTTCCTGACTCACAGAAGCCTCAAGAAAGGCAGTGGCTCAAAAGCACCTTCCTCAATCAACCGGATCCTATTGCCAGACAAGTCCCTGTTCCAATGAGAAGACCAAATGTTCATTCCATGGGCACTGTCCTTTTGACTTGCATTTGCAGCCTGGAAGCCGGGAGGACAAAGGCCACTTGCCCAGGGCTGGGCTGAGCAGCAGGGCCCCAAGGGAGGGGGAGGCAGTAGCCCGGCATGGTGGGCAGGGGCCAGTGCTTACAGGTGCTTCAGCAGGAACAGCCCCTCCAGGGAATGGCTCTTCAGTGCCTGCAGCTCATTGTCCCTGAGGACTCTGCAATGACACAAACGGACAATGGTACAGCAGCCGCTCCACAGGAGGCAATGGCACGTTCCTGGGAAAATACCCTGCGGCAGCTTTCCTGAAGCAACTCTTGGGGTCCCTGCAGGGATGGTCCCCACTCATGGCCAGCAGGGCCTTGCTCCTGGCTGACTGGAGCTGAGTGGAGCCTGATCCCTGGGCAAACAGCCACGGGGACGGTCCCGTGCCTGGCACACAGCTCACGGCATTTCTTGGCATCCTGGGAAGGCCTGGGGAGTCACAGCCCTCCGTGAGGAGCAGCCCAACTTTGACTTCACTTGGGAAGGAGTTCTGTGGTGCTGCTGCTCCAAAACCAGACCAAAGGATGGAAAACATCCCAACTGCTGGCATTTGAAATGCTGCCTGGCACTTACAGAGTCTCAGTCCAGGGGTATTCCTTCCATGCTTGTTTACTCAAAGTAGCAATCGAGTTGCCAGTGAAATCTCTGCAAAGGAACAACAGACCCCGTTACCCCTGAGGAAAAGCCCTTCCCCTGCCCATTTGGCTGCGGAGCTGGAAGTGGGATTTCCCTGGAGAAGGCACGGCTTGGCCAGCCTGGCTTCACCCTCCCAGTGCAGCACAACCCCCCAAAGGCACCGTGTCTCCTGGCAGTGACTCTGCCGGCTGTCCCGGCTGGGCTTTCCAGCAGTAAGAAGGCGTCGAGCAGGGGAAGCTGGAGGGGGTGTGTGGGGCAGCCAGGACTCACAGGACGGTGAGGGCCCGTCGGCGGGTGGCCGGGGGCACGGTGGCCAGGCCGGCGTGGCGGCAGTCCAGCAGCCCACGCCTCTGGCAGCGGCAGGGGTGCGGGCAGAGCTCCTTGGACTCTCCTGGGCAGGGAGTCACTGCCAGCAGCAGGGCCAGCAGGAGCAGAGCACGCACGACACGTGTGACAAAGTCCATGGCGAACCACGACTGGCTGGAGTCGCCTGGGATGCAGA